AAAATATTCTAAGTAAGGCTATGAGCATGGCTAGGGCTCGAACAAGACTCGAGACAACTAGGGCTCGAGAATTGGCTAGGCGCGAACTAGGCGCGATACTCGCGACCGAACAACTCGGTTCCGGACACGGCTAAACTTGGACGATTTATCGAAACAAACTCGGTTTCGATTATTCGTCAACTGGAATAACTAATTCCGACTGAATAAAATCCATTAATAAAATAAATGGACCGGAATTAATAACTGAGATTGAATAGCTGATAACTGGGCTCGGAACTCAAGACGAGCAGTATAATAAAAAGAAATAGTTCAACTGGGAACTAAAAACTGTCATTTTTATTAATACAGAACTGCTATTACATGGTTCTTCTCCGTAGCCGGCGGCAAAACCTATATTGTGATCTTTCTAACATAACCACAGGCCATATCCATATATTCCTCATTTCTATTGGTGCAATTCCAGTCGATCACTCGCAAATCATGAATACATCTCATCCATTTGCAATTTGTGTTGAGGTACTCGAAAGTCCAATCAAAGACATTTTAGATGAGTATCCTGAAAGTGTTCGAGGTCGCTTTGATTTGATTTCCACCTATAATGGGGTCATTAAAGATGTGGAAGATCCGCCTCTTGAAATTATCAGATTTTATGGGGTGATTGCATTTCATGACTATAAAACGACCAACTTTCCACCCCAGCAAAATTTTCGGCCGTTAAGGATATGCTGCAGTCGCTAACTTCATACTCAAGTTCATGCAGTGTGGTAAAGAAGGTAGCTGTAGTAGCTCCTGTCCTGTATCTCCTGTGTCATCTAGTGATTGATTTTTCAGAAAGAGATCCATGTTTGAGGAGGAGATTGGGAACTTAGTAGAAGAAATTGTCAGTTATTTTAGCAATTTGTTGCTCTCAGTATTTGAAGGAAGGAGAACAGAGGTCAGATAGGTTAGGGACACATGTCTTGGATCTAATAAGGGTTTGAACGGTGGATCAGGTCAGACCGAGGCATAAAAATGATCTTCTGGCACATGGCGCATTTCTTTCCGAACTTAGGGAGATAGTTTTCAACATAAAGTCATTGAGTGTATGTGGTACATGGCTGGCGTTGTCATTAATGAGGCTTTTGTATCTGAAAGTTTCTGCTGAAATTAGTAAAGAAGATCTGGTGAGAGAGATGCTAAAGTTGGCTATCCAGACTATAAAGTGCTTCCAAAATTTTGACTTTTTGTGTGAGAATGCTTGTTTTCATTTTGCCGCTTAATCAATGTTCTAGGAGTCAACCTTAAGTTCCTTTATTGGTTTTTAGCTGGTTCTAAAATACTACATTGCTTTTCTCTGGTTTTCTTTTTGCTACTTTTGTTGGATTTATGGTAACTTGACTTTTGTAGGCATGTTTTAATTGTGTTAAGCTCGTTTTGGAGATGTTTTTGTGTTGAATTGATTGGAAAACACAGTGTTGCCCATTAGATTGTGCTCTTTTAAATGTGTTAAGCTCATTTGGGGAGTTTTTTTGTGTTAAATTGATTGGAAAACACACCGTTGCCCATGAGATTGTGCTGTTTTAAATGTGTTAAGCTCATTTGGGGATGTGTTTGTGTTGAATTGATTGGAAAACACACCATTGCCCGTGAGGTTGTGCTGAAGCACTTTTATAAAGATTCCCACATCTTTTTATATATGTTTATGGAACTGGAAGTTTCTAAATCGAAGTGGTTTGTGGGACTTTGTTAATTAGTAGGATCTAGAACTAACTATGCTTTAATTTTTTAGTTCTCATGACACAAGTGAACTAATTTCAATAGTTTGATTTCTGTTATGAGTTATAACTCATAACTGGAGGTTGTTTGTTTTTTCTTCACATGACCATACATCCAGGAACATCTGAAATTGATTACTCTCTCTGCTTCCACCATACTGAAAACCTTTTCACTGAATATAAAAATACCAAAAATCCATCAAAGCATGCCAAATATTCTCTGCGTCTTGAGAATAACAATCTTACTCTGTCTTCAAGTAACATTTTGTTAGGACTGTGCCAACTATCTAGTAGCTTATGCTTTCTTTGTCATTTTATGCGTTAGCCCTCCCTCAAGTTATTATGTTTTGTCAGTGTCAAAGGTGAGGCCAAAATTGGCTTATGAGTCTCTAAATTTATTTTCTCTGTGATTATATTGAAGAACACCCTATAAATTTACTGATTAAAATGTCAGTTCATGTACCCGGTCTTTTTGTTATTCATGCTATTTTATCCTCTTGTCTTTGTTATCATCTTTTCACATGGTACCTATCTTGCCATGATTCTCTATAAAATCCTTGTGATCATAGCAGTTCAAGATTCTGTGTATATGAACTATTTTACTCTCAATATGCCATCTCATTGATTTTTTTTAATTTTTTTCCGGGCAGATTTGTTCCTTAAAATGCTACTGGAGCCCAGTTTGCCAGTCGCATCCTTATTGGTAAGTCTCCCCAAAACTTTGATGGAGATAGAAATTTTTATCAACTCTTCATATAAAAATGCTCATGAATTTTTACAATTGTACATTTCTTTAAATCAGCTGTTGGTCAGATTTATTTTTGTTGGTAGTTAAATGACTGTAATAATGAACTAAAATGAAATCTCATATCTCAAGAAGCTAACTGCATAGTTTTCCACAGAGTCCTGAGGATGAAATTATTTAGTATAAAGCATTATATGATGCTGTTTTGCTTATTGATTATGCTTCTTACACTGGGAGATGGGCCCAGTCAAATGATCGTCACCCCAGAAAATTGGCCCTTTTGTGGGTGTTGGTTGCTGAAAGGGCCATTCAGTTTGCGAGGTAGGCACTCGACAAGTACTAAATCTAACTTTCAGAATAGCATAAAAAATCTCTCCAAATATGAATATTGGATTTTTTTTTGTCGAACAGGGCCAAAAATGATGAACATAGGGCCAATTCTTATCTTAATGCTTTCCGTGAATCACAATTGATGGCCGAGTTAATTAGTTGGGCTGGTAGTCAAACTGAGGCCGATGACAAGAACAATAGGGCTGTCCTTACCTCACCTGATGCCCTTATTAGTGAGTTTTGAATTCATTTGTACTCATTCATTAATTTACTTTACCTTGAGGGCTTCTTTCGTTATATTGCAGGTTAATTCTTATGTTAGGCCTTTTTAGAAACAGATTTTTTCTCCCATAAGTGTGTGTGTGTGTGTTTGTGTTTGTGTTTGTTTTTGTGTGTGTCTGCGTAACTGGGTGTTATGTTTCAGAGTGGCTTTATGTTCTTGAAGACCAAGAAGTTAAAGTATTGGATCACAGCTTATCTATACTATACGCAAAAGCTATGTCTAAAGTAAAGGGAACAAACAGGGATGTTGAAATGGGGGAGGCGCGTTTTATGAATGAATCGTGTAGAAAAAGGAAAGAGCCGCAGAGTGGTTGCCAAGAAGTGCGGGCCAGCCAGGTGAGGAGATGTATGTCGGACAATGGAGTTCATATTGTAGATGATGATGATATGGAATCATAGGTGGAGGATTAGGACATGATTATATTATTTGCAATGACAAGTGCTGGAACATTGATTCATGATGTGCAAATTTATGCAGTTGCAATGACAAGCACCACTGCGTTTAAACAGTACGTAGTTTGTATGTATGGCGTACTCACATTTTGTTGCCCGGGATATCATTTGCATTAAAATTAATATATAAATAGTATAACCCTAAAATACATATAGAAATTATTTTTATTGAATATTGATCAGTATTATGTAAAATGTATTCTTTATAAATTGTGGAAATTTTCTTTCTGGACTCTATTTTTGGTCCGATTCATGTCCACTTCAGACAATGTTTTTAGGCATTTTTGATTAGCGACTCTCGAAACAACAATGATTTATACCAATACATGGCTTATAGAATGAAATTCGATATGGGAGAAAGAGATGCATCTTGATCATTAGTATTAATTTTCTTTGCACTAGTAGCCATGAGGAATTGTCTTTATTGAAACTTTACTGGTATGCAAATATGAGGATTATCTTTATCTGTATAAAAATGATTGACTAAATACTATGATTTTGCTTTTTAATGCATTTATCCTGATTTGAAAGATTAATTATAATTTTTTTACTATTAAAATGTCTCACTTAAAATAGTACTCATACATAATTGAGATAGTAAATAGCATGGTTTAGAAAACAGGGCCGGACTTGTCGGTTCAACCGGTCGGGCCGGGAAATGGCCTTCATTCCGGTCCTGTTTGCTACATCAAACCGCCTAGCATTCAAATCGGTCAAAAACCATACGAACCGGTTTAAAACCAGTTGAACCGGTGAACCGGAACTGGTTCGAATGGTTCACCGGTTCAAGTTTTTTAATTTGAAATGTGTTGATTGTGGTTTAAATATCACACCTTTTTTACTTGTGTTTCCAATGTGAGATATGTTTTCTTGCTAAAATTATTGGGCCTTACAAGCAATATTATACTCATTAAAAGAAATGTACTATTTTTTAAATTGAACTATCTATTGAGCTATATCTATTTCCAAATTATTAAAAAATAAATAATCAAATTATTGTTGTTTGTTATGTACATTATTTTTATTTTTTATTTTTATTTTCTTAATCAATAATAAAAAATTTAAATGTAATTTAAAATGAAAATAAGGCTGTTTCTATTCTCTCTATTTTATAACTTAAATATAGATTAAAATTTTAAATATAAAAAATAAAATAAAATAAAAAGTTATTAACATTAATCGACATTGTTAGTTGTATCTATTATTGAGTTATTATTTAGAGAAATGTCATACATTATGAAATTAATGATAAAAATATATATAATTATATATTATACATATAAAATAAATAAAAAATTATATATTAATTAAAATGGTTCGACCGGTTTGACCACTGGTTCAACCAGTGAACCATTGAATCAGTAGCTTCATCGGTTCGGTTTTCAGAACCATGGTAAATAGTTAGCCAATAGAAAAAAAAAACAAAAAAACAAAAAAAACAAATGTGGTCTCTTTAAGGAAAAACGATAAGTGTAATTTAAAAAATTCTATGGAGCCATCGAATGGTTTTCTTATGGAACCATCTATCACTTAATGTATTGACACATGTCCAAAATGTACTTATTGCAGGACACGTGTCAATACACTAAGTGTGGATGTCTCCATAAGTTATCGTCAATCTCCAACCCCATATCCCCCTTATATAATTTATGAATGTGCTGAGATTAAGTAGCAGACTTGTAATTTTAATTATAAGTGTAATTTGAATTAAGAGATTTTCCTAAGCATGCTCTTATTAATTTTCTTGCACATAAAGCAATAAATCAATTACGCACATGCATAGTTAAAAACAATAATAAACTAGGAAATTAATTCAACTATCATGGCCAATAATTAATTTAGCAATCTATCTTGACAATAAGCAATCCTTGTCCTTGTAGAACTGCATATTTCTTTTCGGAATTGGAATTTTCTTTTCGCCATTACTCCCACTTTTCTTCTCGAACAACCATTCACGTCACGTTCATCGGAGAAGCCGTCGCGGGGAAAAGCTTGTGTCGCCGGTCTGCCACTTTGTCCGGGACAAGCCGCGGTCACCGTCTCGTCACAGCTGCGTCGTGCGCGGCGTCCCGACAATGCAGGCGCGAGTTGAACTTGCTGCCGTGCCCATCGTCGGTCGCCTAGCGCATCTACTGGCCGCGTCTCGGTGAGGCGTTTAAGTGGTGCACGCTCGACCGAGCCGACACGCAACCACCCGACTTCGCCGCGTGCGTCGAGTGCTCGGGCCTGGGCTTCATGCTCACAATCCCGTTTGGCGCCGCACGCCAGCACACTAGCCATGCCCGCGTCACCCGATCACTATCCCCGAGCACAACAGGTCGTCACATGTGCGACCACCCCGACATCGCGCGCGCTCGGTAGCAAGCTGCCCGTGTGCACGTCGGCTCGCGCATGACGGTCTGTTGGGTTCTATTAGGAACGTCATCGATATGCACATCCAAATTTAACGAATTAAATCCTAACGCAGCGGAATCTAAAGTTAGGATTAGGACATTACCGTTTAAAATTTTTACGACTCTGAGACGTTGTAGATTTTCTCTATAGATCGTCTGAACTGCAGAGTCCGTTGGGCAGTCGTACTTGGCCTCCTCGGTTGATTACGGGTCATCGAGATGTGGTTGGGTCGCGATTGAATCAATTAGAGTCGATGTGCGTCAGACGTGGTCCGGGTGCGTGTGTGTAAAGTCGCCTGAGAGATGCGAGGCGTGGCATGCGATCTTCTCGGGCGTGGGCATCACGCGGCTGTGGACATGACGTCGCTCGAAGGTGCTGGTGAATCACTCGAGCGCCTGGGAGTATGCGGCTGGGGGTGGTGACTCGAGGCAGCGTGCTGGCTGGGAGCAGGTTGCCGATTGTCATGTGCGGTGGCGTACGGCTGGGCGCGATCGTCAGTGGTTGTTCGGTGATGTTCGACGGCGGTTTCCGGCGGCTAGAGGGTTTCGCCGGAATATTTTCGATGATAATAAATTCACCGGGATGCTCAAAATATATTGGACCCTAAGGTCTTTTAATGTATGACCTTATACTCCTATTTCGAATAATCTTGGTGGTGCGATTAAACGAAACTCTTGAACTCTCAAGATGGATAAAATTCGATTTTTACTCTCCCTTTAGGACTCCAAAAATCAGTCAATATACACATTCAAGAGAGGTTGGGACATGGTCTATTCATAGGCTACATTAGGGACCTTAAAGAGGTGATAAATATGAGCTTTTCCAATTAGGGTTTGGAAACCTAATATCCTCTAACTCCCTTCCCTTCTAATAACCCTAATCCCTCCATCTTAATTACACCTTCTAGAATACTATTATGTCTTCCATCCTTGGTAATATTCTAGAAAGAATTACATGCTTCTAATTAGAAAAATTCTAAAAGATAAATTAATTCCTTTATCACAATTGAATTAAATAATAAAACATTCCACCAGAGTAATATTATTCATTTACCCCATTTAGCTCCAATTTATTAAACATAAAACAGCAAAGTTGTTGCCCGCGTGCGTCCACGTCGTGCTCGGGCGCGTATTCCTCACCCTCCTGCACGCGTGCGTGTACTTGCACGACTGTGCGCCACTCTCATGCGCATCGCGCTCCTACGCCTTGCGCGGTACTTCTGCGCACGTAATGTTGCTCCACGTCACCCATTGCGCGGACTGTGCAGCGACCCACACACTATCACTCTCGGACTCGCGCGGCCTTGTGTGCTCGCTCGCGCGGCCTTGCACGCTCGCTCGCGCTGCCACACGCAGGCCTTCTCGTGCATGTGTCGCCATGCTTGTATAGGCTCGCTTCGCCTTCCTTGTGCTCTTGTGCCTCGCATACGAGCTCACGCATGTCTCTAATGCCATGGGCGTTTCTTTTTAGGCCCTCGCATGGTCTCATCGGGTCGCCACAACTCTCGACCCGTCTCGTCCATGGGCACCAAAACCCCCATATCCATCATTCCCCCCCTTCCCCCTTCGAATTAGTCCTTGTTCTCAAGAACTCATCATCGGGCATCAATCGAAACACGTCTTCTCGACCCTCATTGACTCTTTCCAAAAATCCTTCCTCGAACCCAACTACTTTGGCCTCATCGAAAATAGGAGGCCTTTCAATTGATTCCTCCATATACTTGGTGGCCTTCACGTCCTTAAAATATCCCAGGAACTCAAACGAGAAAATTGACTCTTCGTCGAAATACCCCGAAAACTCGAAAGGAAAAATGGGCTCCTCGTAAAAAAACCCCGAGAATTCAAACGAGAACGTGGGCTCCTTGTTAAAAACCCTGGAAATTCGAACGGGAAATTTGGCTCCACGCACCGTTCTTCAATCTGGACATCTTAACTCGCGCTCATCTCCTTCTTGGACTCGCCTTGGCTTTCGCAAGACTTTTGTTCGCAATTTGACTCGGGGACCATAGCCGATCCGTTGTCGGGTTGCTGCGGGTCTTCTGGTGTGGCTTGGGCACGCTGGTGCGCGGTACCGCACTTCTGTGCCTGTAGGTGCACGACCCTCGCCTGGTCTTGCCGGGTCTCGCCGACGTGTGATTGCTGGGCGCGTGACTCTCGTGACTCCTTTTTAGCCATGGCTCGTTGCTTCTCCTCTAATTTTCTTCACTCGTACAACTCCTCCAAATACCTTCGTTCACTCCAAGTCAACCTCCTATCCAACCCTTCTAATTTTTTGATATCTTTTTTCTCCCTTTCGTCCAACTTCTCAAAAAACATATTTTTTTTGGGATATGCAATAAGATCCTCACACGACCTAAACACTCTCAAATTTTTTATTTGTATTTTTATTTTTATTTTTTATTTTTTATATATGACTAGCCTCTCATAAGCTACCTCTCTCAAATTTTCTTTTTTTATTCTTTTTTTTTCGGNGGCTTCTCTCTCTCTCTCTCTCTCTCTCTCTCTCTCTCTCTCTCTTTTTGTAATCACCTTCTGACGGCAACTACGAAGATACACAACCGACCCTCTCAATGAAAACACCAATGATGAAGATCGTGTATCTTGACTACTTCAAACCCGGGCCAACCGTCTTGATTCTCCGCGATGGATTGCTAATACGCACGCCGACGCCTTCGTACTTCGCGATAGGTTTTGAATAGCTCGGATTTTGATCTTTGCCTAACACGATTTTTGTATCTAAAACTCTCACGAATTCTAACACACAATTTGTGCCCATGTGTGACGATTTTCTTCTTAACTTTAATCCATGATGAAAATTGATCCTAAGACATGGTATTTAAAGACAGGAAATAAACTAAGTTTAATCCTAAGAGAACTAGAATTCTAAGCCTAAGGAAATAATATATCTATGCTACCTTATCTAGGAAAACCCAACATAAATAAACTCCTAAAAAATGTAGGAAAATAATAAACAAAACTCCTAAATATTTTGGCTAATAAGATAGGTCCTAAGACCTTCTAGAACTAGCTTGAATCGTCAAGAAGTCCCAAAGTCTTGACAAGCAAGTTTTTGTCCTTGCTTGTGCCCCATGGGTCACTGCCCAGAAGGGTTGTCGAGCCTTGCCCAAGAAACTCGCGCGCGCTCCCAGTTGCGCGTCTGCGTCCACGTCGTGCCCGGGCGCGGGATCCTCGGCCTCATGCTCTCGTACGTGTACTTGCGCGCCTGTGCGCCACTCTCGCGTACATCGCGCTCTTATGCCTCACGCGGTACTTTCGCGTGCGTGCTGTTGCTCCACGTCGCTCGTCGTGCTCATGTCTCTAGCATCTCCCGTGCCTGCTCGCCAGGCTGCGGGCTGTCTTGCGCGGTCCCCATCTATTTGTGCACGGTCTGTGCCAGTGACCCGCGCGCTGTCTCTCCCGTACTCGCGCGGCCTTATCAGCGTAGCAGCGCTATCGCTCTGCCACATACGAACCTTCTCGTGCATGCGCCACCATGCTCGTATAGGCTTGCGTCACCTTCCTTGTGCTCGTGTGCCTCGCATACGAGCTCGCGCACCCTCGCATGGTCTCATCGGGTTGCCACCACTTTCGACCCGTATCGCCCATGGGCACCAAAACCCCTATATCCATCAGCACGACAGCGCGCACGCACGCCAGGCAACGCAAGCACTGGCACTTGCGTGCTGAGCGAACACGTTTGCAGGCAAGGAGGAAACTCGCTACTGCATGGAGGGAACTCGCGACCTGGGCAGGATTGCTCGTGGGCGCGAACGAGCAGGCGCAGGAGCAGAACGCATCATACGGGCGAGGCAGTGCGGCCATCGCGCTGTGGACCGAAGACTTCGGGCGCGCAAACGGGACATGTGCGCGCCAACTGGAGACCCACGCGAGAAGATCGCGACCAGCGCCCGAGCTGACCTAGGTCTGGCGCAGACATCATACCTGGCAGTGCTGTGGACTAAAGACTTCGGGCGCGCGGACGAGACGCGAGCGCGCCAGCTGAAGACAGCACGAGAAGATCGCGGCCAGTGCCTAGTAAACCTAGGTTTGGCGCGGACAACAAACCTGGCAGCGAGTCTTGAGGCACAAGGAAGTCCAAAAACTTGTGGACCAAGGCAAAGGAGCTTCTAGAAAATCTTAGGCTGATTCTAGGAGCATAATAGATATATTATTTTCTAGTTTATTATTCTATAATATTTAGGAATTTTATTATTTGATAATTCTTATGTGACAGACACTTAATTGTTTTAGGATAAATATTTAGTTTCCTTAAGTTACAATTCTAGTTCTTATAGGTTTAAACTTAATTTCTTGTCTTTAAATACAATATCTTAAGATCAATTTTTATTAGGATTGAAGTTTAATGAAAAATCGACCATTCGTCATCAAATTAATGTGTTAGAATTCGTGAGAGTTACACTTTCACATATAAACCGTGATAGAAATTGAACCAACATCTGAATTTCGTCACAACATCGAGAAGTACGAAAGCGTCAACACTCGTATCAACAACATATCGCTTAAAAATTAAGGCGTCGGCTCATGTTTTGAATCAAACCAAGTTATCGAGATACACAATTTGCATCACCGCCCCACCCCGCCAAACGGCAGTGTAAAAGCCAACCCAACCCATTGGCCATTTTTAACATATCTATTCATACTGTTATATTTATATTTAAGATTCCCTTGAACATCAAAGTAATTCCAGTCCACACTGAATAAAAATGCAATACGTGCCGACGGAGGAAAACAAATTCTCTATATGTCTACTATCAGCATTTTCATAAGCCAAGCATTATGTACAGCATAATGTCTTATTCCGGTCAATGGAGCAATGCAGATGAAAGCTTTACAATGAAGATACAANAAATAAAAGAAGGGATAACAAACAAAACAAAATGTGACTAAAAATAAATAAATTATATTACATTTCAGGACCAAAAATGGGGAAAAAAGGTAGAAAAGAACAGTGCTGCAATTGTTAGTCGTTCTTCTATCAGTTAGATTACTTCCTTGAGAGTCTGATTTCGATGCTCGTATCACCTTGTCTTTCACTAATTTGGTTGACAGAAACTAATAGAGAACATTTCACGATCAGATGGACTTGGCTACGAGGCGAGCAGGGAACCGACAATCTCAATCGGGCCATCATTAGTCTTAATCTCAGCATGAGGTAAAAGTTCTCTTTTTTACCAAGGTAAAATAAGTGGAATCGTTACAACTAAATTTAATCATCATCCTTCGTGTATCAAAAGATCCTTGGATATCAAAGCAATTCTCTGCTTAGTACTGTCCGATCTGAGATTGTCTCCTTTAAATCCAATCTGGCGGCAAGAATCATTTTCAAAGAATAACTCGGCAAATGATTATAGTTGTGTTGGTCATTAAAAAACAACACCATTACAATTGGCCTAATTTAAAAAAAAAAAAAAAAAATATCATGTCATATCTTAATATTGGAAATATCCACCTTCATGGTGCAAAAATTGATGAGAAGTAAAATTGAAGGCAAGAAACTTGTGATGTCAAAACATTGTTGTATCTTTAGGGGCTGGTTAGATTGGTCCTTGGGGCAGTTGTAACTAACAAACATCTTTAATGTGAGAGATATAAAGGTAGACAGTGCAAAAGAAAAACAAAAAGAACAAAAAGAAAATCCAATCTTTTTGGTTCAAATACAGTAAAGAAAGGAGGTCACATGAGTAATTACCTCATTTGGACTTTCAGATGAGAACCAGCGTAATAATATGCCAAGGTGCATAACTGCTGGTATTAACTTGAAAAGCAATGGGGTGGTTACCTGTAGGACTTTGAATGTAAATATTCCTACTTTAAAATATGAAAAAAAAATAAAAATTAAATGCTATTGTGTGCAATTCAATGTTAAATCACAATTTCATTAGCAATATTAGCTAATGGAAGATGAGATACTAATAAGAAACCAGTCAATATGAGGCTAAAGTATATGCTTTGGATCACACAAATGTAACTATACAATTGACACGTGACGTAGATATGGACACGTCTTGTGCGCACGCGAGCATGCACAAATAATGGGTAAGGATAATAACAAACTATCCATGAGGTTCAGCTTAGTTACAAAATTCTCCCGTTACCATACCCATTAAGATATTCCCCGTTTAGTTTAAAAATAATCCTCTCCTCAGAGTACCATTCCTAAAAGACAAAATTATTGAGTTTTGTAATTTCTAAGATGATTAAATTTCTCGTCACTAACCTACACTTCAGTGGTTGTTTTTGTCATTGACCCTGACAAAACTAAAATAGAGCGAGATGTAATTTCGTACCAGACTGAGAGCTGTCGTTCCAAGAAGCAGCAGGTACACTTTCCCCTGTGAAATAAATCAATATCTCAAAACCACAGACACACATACCAACAAAAGAAAAAAAAAAAAGGATTCTCAAAAATATCGATGTGTTTCCTGTAGAGTGGGTCTGCACAGCAATAAGTGAAGCCAAGAAACACAGGCATTGTCTCTCATGTATTCACTACATAAATGAGCCAAAAAGCAAGATTGCTTTTATGGTTTTATAACTGTAGTATTTACCTCAACAAGATGAAGATTTGAGGCACGACTAAGCAGTACAAAGGCAAATTCGCCTATTTGTGCCAAAGACATCCCAACCTACATGACTCAAGGATCAAGGATACATTGAGAGTTCATTTCATGAAAATAATTAACATGTGCTATAGAACAAAGATAAAAGAAAAGATAACATGAGCTATATAATCGAAGGTAACATCTTACAAGAACTGCGGTTTTACTGTTGTAGCCGAATCCCTTGACAACTCCAGAAATTACTAGAGTCTTAACAACGACCACTAATATAACTGATGCAAACAAGATATCAACATGGTTCCACAGAAAATGAACATGGATTAGCATCCCAATGCTAGCCAAAAAGAGAGCTGCAAACATGTTCCGAATAGGTTCAACCTGCAGATTTACAAAATCTAGTCAATGTAGCCACAAAACAAAAACTTCCACAATGACAATGTGTGGAGTTACAATTTTAAGAACATGAACAGAAATATTAGTGACCATATAAGCAAGGAGTTTAGTTTTTTCCAGTAACAAAGGAAGTTTCTAAAGTAATCTTACTTGTTCGAGAGTGTGTTGAGCAAGATCAGTCGTTGCTATCATAACTCCAGCAGCAAACGAACCCAACTCTAAACTCAGACCAAGCTTGTCACTACACTGAAACCATACAGGCTTGAAAATACGGGTACAATATTTAAGATACCATTATAAAGGAAACGAAGTTGAATTAACAACTAGAGACAGGGAGACATCCTATTTATGTAAATGCCTTTCAACTCTCAAGGCATGGGACATCAGAAGGAAGTAGAAGGCAAACCAAACAATCTTGGCAATATAATGCATATGAACACAATGTAGGTATGCATGTCGAAAGTGAAGTCAATCTCAAAAAATCTGCCAGAAGGAAAGGAGACTAACCCAGGCCACGAGTAGGCAAAATGCCACTGAAGCCAATTGATAAAGCTCATTAGTCTGCAAAAGAGGAAAAAACATTCACATAAGTTAGACCAACTGAACCGGCGCTCACATTTCTAATATGCAGCATGCCTAATAGATGACAGACATCTCAACCTCAAAAGATATTAAACTAAAAAATTAATATAAAGTTAAAAGAGACATCTATACTTTTTTTTTTTAATGTCTGAGGGGAGTTACTTTCCTACCTGGGATGACAAACTTATCATTAGTTTTAGAAACCAGGGTACACAAGTCCGTGACAATATCGTCAAAACTGCCAAGAAAGCAATCAACACCACCAACCTGGGCGATGAACTAATCAGAGCATGCATTCTATATATCCTGAATAAAGCAAAGATAGAGTTTTCACTCTTTTCAAGAAAATCCAGTCTGATATTGGAGAAAGAATGAACTTACGATTTAGTCATAGAAATTACGCCTTGCATAATACCAGAAGTTCCACCCAGAACTGGAAGCATAGCAAACAATAGCCCCACAGCACAGTCCTAAAAATTAAGTAGAGAAAACTTTCACCGAAATGTGATGCTTTCCAGGAAAAAATAGATAAAATTTAAATAAAACATCATAATATGCGAAAGTAGCAAAACAATGGCCTTAAAACTTTCAATTGCTGCGAGAAGATTGAAATTCATCACCAATATTACAATCAAAATAAAATTACAATTAAAAACAAAGGAATGAAGGAAAGATGAATTGTCTTATACTAAGGATTTGAAAACAAAAACTGTTTGTTCAACTGCAATACTTTAATCTCACTCACAATAAAAGACAAAACAGGAATACCTGTAAAATCAGAGTGCCGATAGTCACTTGACCATGAAGAGCATTAGTACTGTTCTTCTCCATCAGAAACTTGTATACCTTCAATAAGTCATGATGAATAAGGGCAAACTTCTGAAAAATCATACGGCAGCAATCTTCCACAAAGTGAACAATGTCGAGAGCTTACCACTGCTGTAGAGGACATCGAGAGAAAGGCACCGACAAATACACCCTCAGAACATCTACCACCACATAACTGCAAATCAGGAACCGGAAGTAAAAATTACAGAAATGGCTTCCCTTGTACTAACCCATTGGAATAGCTATATATTTCTTGCTGCATAAACCTGAGTATGTCTAGGAAAGAGAAAAGCATGTGGCATACAAACCGAAACTGAAATATAGAACCATAGTTAAATAGATGTGAATTTCAACTTCTAATATTAATAATTTATGTATACCTTATTCTGCAACTTTTATTTTCCATGGTACCATGGATTCTCAACATGTTATCCACTTAAGCAGTAAATGTGAGGGTGATATTTCATAAGAGAATTCATCTTGGCATAAGCTTCCCATGAAACGACAAAAGTTGCTCAATGCTATCTCACCCCTAAGGTCTTAAGTAGAATTTTCATCTTAATGTAATTGAAGAACACATGCTAGGCCTGTAATTAGATATATATAACCTGCGACAGCCTTTTAGAGCGAATAAGGAACATAAATAGTAGCCAGGTAATTAGAGGAATAATTGATTTATTGGGAGATCTTGAGGAATAATTGATTCGCAAGATCTTAGAGGAAATATTTATGGGCATAGAATAAAAGAATGTTTTTTATGTTAAGAAAAATAAAGTAT